TTGAGGAATGTTAAAAAAACTGGAGAAATAAAATAAATTCCAATAAATTCCATCAAATTACCTTTACTCTGCGTCGCAAACTTATGACCTCTTGTCCTACAGTATCATTTAGCAATTCCCTATTTATCCCAGTTGCAGAAATCCGTTGCATAGAACTCCAATTGAAAAAATGATTTACATGTAATCCTCATACAAGATTGAAACTACAAGAAACCGCTAAACGTTTCCGACTATGCGAGCACTTACAGACAAATGCTCTAAGCGTTCAATCAATCACAAACGACTTATATATATGACAATAATAAGATCTATTTGGACTTACGAAATTGAGCTTTGGGGCTTCACGAAGCCATCGAATTCCTCTCGTATCCAATTCTTACAATCAAAAATCCCTTCTTAAAAACCTCAACGCTCTTTACTTTGTTACAAATAAAGTCATACATAAAGATCTTAATGTTCCATATGTTTTCGATTTGGCCAAATCCAGATACCTATCCTTCCATAACAAACTCCAGAAGCATCCAAATCCTCTCGTTTCAAACCATGCTTCCTCCTCAATCCCTGATAACCCTCCGAGGCGTCTGAAAAGAAGCTGACCTCATGATCTTCTTGTGTAAATTGATTATTAGAGTGCTATCAGTGGGTAGTTTCTCAACAAGCGATTTCATGTTATCGTATTTCTGATTGCTTATTTACTAGTCACATTTTTTTATAATACAGTCGTAAATATCAAAGAATAAAAAAAAAAAAGAGATTAACAATTATTTAAAAACATAATTAATTACGTCGCTAACACATAATTTCCTGAAAAACATGAGCATCATTTTGTGTATTTATTTTTTGTTACGAACCTAATTAAAAATTACTTACACTCAAAACAAATTAATAAGGTCACATTTGGGTGAAGCTAATAAGCTTTTAAGTATCTACATCTGCTTAAGCTCCTTATCATAGTTTTAATCGCCTCAAAATATGGCAAACGAAACATCGGTTCTTGGGATTCATTTTCAAATAAAGAAATAATTTTCGTATAAACAGAAAATCTAGTTCTTTGTTTTGTTTTTTTGGAGGAGGAATCCAAATTAAAAACGTTTAAATAAGCTCAAATCTTGGAGAGCTTAAATTTGTCTTGGTATCATTCCAGCTATTTTTAAGTCGTTATACTCAACTTAGGAGTTCACGTTATATTTTAGATTACACTCCACTTTGTTGATTATCACGCAACATATTTAAAAAAAAAAAAGTATGAATATTGTCTCTTATGTAAAAAAGTGGACTGAATCGATATTCTTTCATAAATTTACATATAAATTAAAAATAAACATTGATTAGTACTTTGAGTTTATATATGTTCACAGCATAAATTGGGTTTTTTTTCAATATCCTTTGTTTTCGTAGGATTATCAAGTAAATCGATGCCCTTTTGAATGCTTTCAGTCAATATAATAATATCAAATCTTGTTAAGCATTATTGCTGGACTTTTTATTAATTTACGGATGAAACAAAAAACAATCAATTTATCAAATAAGTTTATTTTTATTCATAAGATCATACTTATATTTTTGATACAACTTTCTTTTCCGCCAAAATTAAATCTGGACGAATTGTATATTCATAGTTAATAAAATATCTATCAATTTAAAATTCTGGTAGCCTTAAATTTACACAAAACAGTCAGAAAATACCAACTCCATCGCAAAGACGCAGCTGAGAGAGAAGCGCTGTGATCTCTTAGAGTCGTACCTTATCCTCCATACGTGGCAGAAAGGGCCCGACTCGGATCTATATGTAAATATTGTAAACAAGTATTAATCTGTTTTTATATATTTTATATTTGTATTTAATGTTTTCTTAAATTTCTTTTGTTCTATCAATTTTTTTTATTTTATTTATTTATTTTATTTTATTATAATTTTTCTATTGTTTGTATTATTGTATGTATGTATGAATGAATCTCACACATCGCTAATACTCGATGCCCTTAATTGAGGCAAAATGTATTATTTCTCAATAAAATAATCTTTTTTTTTAAAAAAGTACCAAATGAATCGTTCAATATTAAACTACAATGAAATTAACGTATTGATAAAAAATTAATGTACATAGTTGAAAGATTTGTGAGTTATTTTAGTAATTTTGATTATTTTTATTGAATTTTAAATTCTTAAAATAGAGACAAAGTATCCGTGGAAAGTAAAAATACCAATAAAGATAATGCTCTATTGTTTTTATATTAAAAAATATATATATATAAAATTTAATTTAATTTAATTTTTTTTTGAACTGCGGATGAAGTTGTAGAAAATAAAACATAACAATTAAAAGAGTTCAAGAGTATAAACTTATCAAACAATATTATATACATTACAGCAGTAATAAATTATAAAAAATACAAATATTTCAAATTATTTATCTGTAAATTCGGTTAATTCATTAAAAAGGGTAAACATCAATAAAAAGAATATACTCTGTAAGAAACTCTATAATTCACCATGCTATGGATGAAGGAAGGTTTTAAAAACGGTGTTCGAACACCAAATATCAGGACAGAATCCGGTAATTTCAAGTCTCTTGAAGATGTTCCAGATGTTACAAAGTTCATAGGAATAAATTTTACTTAAAAAAGAGTGAATTGTTACAAAAATGAAAAGGAAAGAATGTGAATGAACACCAACATTCATTTTACTTTATAAAAAATAATTTTCCTTTTTGAATACAATGAAATTCATGAATTATATAGCCAACTATAAATCAATTTTCATTTATGTTAACCTGAATATTTTGTCTTAACCGATGTTATCCTATAGAAGAAACCATTTAAAATTACTTAGTAATTAATTAAAAATATGTACAGTTTTCTTCTGCCTCAATTTTAGTACACGGATTTTGTAACTTGAACACAATTTTGAACAACTAATCTATAACAAAAAAATAAATAAAAATTTAAGAAACTAGTCTTCGTATTTCTTCATTTATCGCAAAGTTTGGAAAGTTGAAGTAGAACTTCTATTAATTAAGATTTTACTTAGTTATTCTTCATAGTTCGCTTGAATGCAATATTCCTAATTTAGTCCTTATTGGTTATGAATTAACGTTAATTAAAAAATATTGGATATCGTAGATAAATATACCTGCGTTTAAACTTTATGTTATTAAACTTATATTTAATATTTTTTTCTGTTTTTTTCCGAAGGATCTGAGAAGTTTGAAAGTAATTTTAATATTTTCTATTATAATTGATTTATAATGAGATTTGCTCTTCATTAATTAGCAAAATTATTTTTTTCAAAATTATTAGTTAAATTTTCCTGTAAATAATTAGAACTTTTGCAGCAAGTATTTTGGAATATTATCAAATTCTTTAATTTTTCTATTATTATTCCTAAATTATATGTATTTATATTGATATTCTTCTAGTTTAAGTTATCAATATAGATGAAAATTTAATTCAAATTCATATGAAATTGAATATATATCATGTTATTGTTCTCAAAACATTAGAGGTATATAGTAACTTAACGCTTAAATAGCTTTTTTTTTTCTTTTGGGTCCTCCGCTTCCTAGCCTTTATGGTTATACAGGGTTCTCCCGGACCAGGGATTGTGGGCGGGGATTTAAAAGACTCCCCCGGCACCGGGATACGAACTTCGCTTAAATAGCTATGGTGCTTAAAACTTGGATGAACCTTAAGTGAAAGACCTATTCTGCTATAGTGTTATCGGCTATAATAAGTTGAGTCCACACCCCCTCATTTCATAAGATAGTCTTTACTTCTTAATTTTAATTTTTAAGAACTTATTATGTTTTTATTTGAACACTCTTCAATACATGAAGTATTTTTAACATCGACTGAACATATCCCATGGCGTGTTAAAATCGATTGTATTAGCGTCCATATTTAATAAAGTGATTTTTTTTTTATTTATTGAGTAATATATTAGAAATTGATAAATATGTCACTCTGAAAATAATTATAGAAAGGTAAGACCACATTCATACTATATATACAAAAAAAAATGTTTCCTCATATTTCCTACAGCACTAAATACATCTAGTAAATGTATAAATGGACATAATGACGTGCAAACACTTGTTGAATAACTATAAAAACTGGTAGCACTTTGATAATATGTCTACATTAGGAGATCACGAGGCCATCTTCTTTACATACTCCTCGGGGGATTATCAGGAATTGAAGACTAAGCAAGGGTAGAAAAGAGATAGTTGGGGTGGGTCAGAAATTTTTTATGGAAGGATAGGTATCTGGATTTGGCCAGATCTGAAACATAAGAAACATTAAGGTAATTATGGATGCTTATATTTGTAACAAAGTAGGGATCATTGAGGATCTAAGAAGGATTTTGGGTTGTAAGGATTGGATAGGAGAGGAATTCGATGATATAGTGGAGCCCTATAGCTCAACTCCGTAAGTCCAATAAGGCTTTATTGTAGTCATGTATATCAGTCTTTTGTAATAAATTGAAAGTTTAGAACGTTTTTCTAGTAATAGAAAAAAAAGATAAAATAAAGAATGACTAATAGGAGAAAAATAACAACTAAATAATAATCAAAAAATACAAAAAGTATATAGAATAAATAAGAAATAAAATAACTTAAAAATGAGTAAAATTAAAAAAAAAAAAAAAACACAGTTATACCTATATAACTATTTACAAGCAGAGGTGGGAACTCCTAGAAAGGCTTGTCCCTCCAAGTATAGAGGGAAAAGTAGTACTCCAGGAGTTCCTTGCGCTACTCTCAACCGCATTATTGGTGATAAAGCCAGAAACCCACTGATTTTAATCAAGTTTCTTGATTTGAACACATTTGAGAGAATGACAATATTGAGTATTGGTTGTATGACAGTTTTTATATTTTAGTATTAAACAGTTTATTGATGTCTCTCTTATAAGCGTTAGAAGATAAATTTTAACTATGTTTTGTCTTGGAAAAATGTTTGTAGTCTGTTATCTTATTTCAATTTCAAATATATATTGACATGTTTCAGGCGATCCCGAAAGTGAATTACGAACGCAACTCCTCTTCGCTAAGACGTCTGGACCCGTTCCTCAACCGGCAGAGCGAAGACTGCCTCAACCTGAACATCTACGCCCCCAGTTCAGGTTAGTCTCCCTAATCTTGTTATTGACATTATTAGTGCAATATTGGCTAGCTTATAGTTAATTAATTTCAGCTTATTAGGAATTAATTGTGATAATATTGATAATAATATATTATTAATCAGAATATGTCACTATATATTGGCAGCAGTAGTGTTAGTGACGATTCCGGTGATGTAAATCTAATTAATATTTAAAAAGAATTATAGTAATTAGTAATATAATTGAAAATATGCGTTTATGTACTTATTATAATTAAAATTATTTTAGAAGGTTAGAAAACGACCTAATAAAAACGATCACATTTATATAGTCCGGCAGAAATTATCTTTCAAAATAAATAAAAAACAAAACACCTGTATAGATTTATGCAAATCAATAAATTAACGTATAGAAGTTTGAATAAATTAATTATACTAAATCTTAATTTAAAGAGAATGGTAAAAAAACTTTGTTAAACGTTTTCTAGTAAAATCGAGTGAGATAACTATCGCATTAGATAGCTATCATTCTCCCTAATGCCTCCGACGTATAAACGGCACCACCTAAACAGGTTTATCTTATTTACAAAGTAATATTACCAAGAATGTTAAAGTAACAACTTACTTAATAAGTGAATGATTACTTGCCCTATATACCTTAAATTATTAATTTAAGTAATATGACGCAAATATTAAATAAAATTAATCTATTATTGTACTAGCTTAAGACCTATATGGTTGGTGCAGGAGATCTTGTAGGCAGTGGGACATACCCCTTTTTATCAAATTATACAACAATATCCGCCTGAAACTTCGTGCTTGTGAATTTGCTATCCACTTGGATCGTAAAATAATTTTATAAAAGAATCCGAAAAAAAGGTGACCTATAAAAATGTTGGACCGTTTGGCCTTTTGGCCTTTTGACCGTTATTTTGACATTTGGAACTACAAGGTATGTCATGGGTGAATGCGATATCGAGTATTGGAGCTAGTACTGAACCTTCGTGTACTCCTGCTGAGATATACCTGATGGAAGATAGTTCTGACTCGTGTCGGACTGAGAAACATCTGTCAGATAGGGAAAATTGTAGAATAAGAAAGTAGATAGATGGAAGTATTGTCTTGAGTTTAAAGAGAAGACCCTGTATTTTAATTTTCGAAACCTAAATATGCAATAAGTATCTTGTGGCAATTTTACCATCTATGAGGCCTTTGGCAAAAATTAAGATTTGCTTTAAGATGTGCTTTAAAATGCTATTAAAATACTTAAATCATAATTTATTCTAACTCTGATGCTGTACTTACGTTATGTACACAAGAATGACCGGTATAATAAATAATTTCTGACCGTCATAATAAAACAATTTTTATCAATTACTAATTTGGAGAACGGTTGACACTAAATGATAAAATTGAATGGTATTAAAAAAAATAATAATTTCTCACTATTAACATGATTCATCCATCTTTGATGAGAAGGAATAAATCAATGTATATAAAAGGTAAAAAAAATCAATTAAAATCTATCTAAATAACTAAAATTTGTGGAAGCACATAGGTAAAAGGGAATAAGTTTTTTTTTTAATTTCTATTATATGTTTTCTATTATTTATGACATATGCTAATATTACGATAGCCGTAAAAAAGATCATTCCTTTTCCTGGAGGACTATCTTGGGAGAGGGGAGGGGGGGAGAAAGAGGTTCTGTTACCTTCAGAAGGAGCCGATTGCACAATTCCACTTGGATCCTGCGCCGCATTGCTATCTAATCTGGATCAGGAGGAGCTTACGGCCAGTGCTGAAGAGAACGAAGATTACACGTGTTGAGAAATTAGCCTCTCGACAACAGTACTCCCCTACTTGAAAAAAAATTCCTCCCTCTCTTTTCCTCCCCTCAATCCTCGAGTGGACTAGGCCCTCGACCAAAGTGCGCTGTAGTGCTTTGAGGGCCCTAGCTACTCCAGTGTTCCCCATCATTTCTGATTTAACCACTCCTGCTACATCCTTGCTACGGAAGGGTTATGTCAGTTTTCTGTTTTAAGTGCTAATTAGTATCGAAATTTCTACTGCCCTCTTGCGATTGAGTGTTTTTCTGCATACGATACCGTCCCATCAATTATATATAGCTTTCAACAATTCTGTTCTGGATGTTAAAACACTATAGCACATGAAGTGTTTTAAGTTCAGTAGCTTTGAAGAAAGTACTGTTTGTGAAAGGATTATGCTCAACAGCCAGTTGTTTCCCTTAATTAATCATTTAATTAAGGGTACTTGATTTACAGAGGCTGTGTGTGTCCCAGGAGGATCTCTCGCAGTTTCGTACACGGCCGACGAAAATATAATAATTTATCTGCCTTCAGCCGAATTTGAATTCGGGAATTTGAATATTTGAAGTCAGCACCCTACCACTAAGTTACTCTATTCCTGTTTTGGATATTTGTTACATAAACTCATAGGGTTTTCAGAGCGAAAAAATGAAATATACATGTGTAGTTCGAATTTGGTTACATTTAGTTACTTTTGCACGTCACCCATGATAAATTTTCTATAATTATTATAAGTTCATTTCAGTGGACAGAATGACTAACTCAATTTCAACTTTTTTGAGTAGTGTCATTTCAGTGATGTTTTTATTTAGAAAATTTATATTATCTGTAGAAACAGTAAGTAAGTTGATCCCAGAGTAGACAATTGCAGTGTTGAAATACAGAATTGTAAATAAAGGTATAATTTTTCTAACTAGATATATCATATTTTAAGGTCTTGGTCAGGGATGCTGTCAGTCTGTACAGGATATATTATAGTAGTACTTTATTGCATTCACCAACGTTTCGGAAGAAGTTCCATAGTAGACAAACTAAGTACATAATGGATGCTGTGATGAAGATCTAGAAAGTTAGTGGAAGCACTAAAATACTGCTGAAGTGCATTTATTATATGGTTTAACATTCAAACTTGTTTTTGTGAACTTCGATTTTAATTATCGATACAAAAACAGTATGAAAATAAAATAAATCTTTTAAATATCAAATGTAGGTTCTACAAGCACACGATTTCGTAAAGGGAAACCCCCTCAAAAATCCTACTTTTTTGAGGTTATAAAATGTAACTTGATGACTTTTTGCAATAAACCGAGGGTATAATATTTCTACTGACAGCTTCCCTGTGCAACTCCTTCTTAAATTATGATTACGGTAAATTATTATTATTTTTTTTTCTGCAACATAAGGAGTCATATCTCCAACACCCAAAAGCCACCGCTCCCTGTCCATTCAATCTCCTTCACGGAGCCCTCTGGCTGCCATGCAAGTACAATTACTAGTCAATTATCTATATAATATAATCATTATACAATTTTAAATATCAAGATTCATTCATCTTACTGCAAGAAGTGAGTAGAATTGATGTTTGTTAATTACTTTTCATATTATAAATTAAAAAAAAATACATATACATAAAAATTTGCATATTACAAATTAGTGTAAAATCATCTGTGATTTAATCAAATTATTTATTTATCGGACTTTCCCTCTTTTTGATTCATGGTATTGATTGCTAGCGATGTGTAAAACCTGTGACTTTTATATATTACACGCTCTTTTAAGCTTCCAATTTAAAATGTTCTCATTATCAAAAATACCTTTTATAACAAAAATATTTTTTTATGCTGAATATTGAAATATTTATAGTAACCACAGACTCATATTTTCGATCTTCAAAAAGACATATCTTTTTTTCTTTTTTTTTTTAAATCGGTATGGATATCATTCAATTTTAAATGTTTTATTGTAAAAACGTCCTTAAAATATGACAATTGTTTCGAGAATTTCAAATAATCAAGAAATGTTCACTAAAAACTGTGGAATGTGATTTATAAAATAAATTATGGGACTCGTAGGGAAATTCATTGCTTATTTTGAAAATTGGAATATAAGTGCATAACAATATATACGATAATATAATATAATAGTATACTCATACTATTTACCCTACTTACTTTTTTAGACCCATGTAGAGCTATTCCTCGATTAAATACGTACGGTTTATCTAAAAAGACCTTATAACAGCACCTTGTAACGCGACTAACAAAACTCTTCATACTCACATCCACCTGTCAACGGTTGAACGATATATTATAATTATCCTTATTTACTCTTACAGACTAACAACAAAAATAAATGGCGGAAACATTATTTTCTTAAGTATCTTGCTATGTATGATTTCCTGAAACATAGTAAATTGTTAAAATATCCCTTTTTAGATAACATAATGATATACTAAAAGCTAATACTCCAGTATTCTACAATACTTGCTAAATAAATATAAAACAATAAATATATACTTCTGAATAATTAAAGGATTATACTGGTTGCCTTTAATTTATGAAATACAAAATAAATTACCTTTATCTGATGTAATAAATTGACTCTAGGTGAATGTTTCGTACAGGATAGACACATTGATCATTAATATGTTAATTCTATAAATATTTATAATTCTTATAAATATATTACACACCACTCTGGTTGTTTTTGGTCACAAATTTATATGGTTAGTGGGCAATTGAATATAATTCGTCATATTGAGAAGCGTCATAACAGCTGATAAGATTCATAGATTTCTTTTTTAAATATGTGTGTGCATAATATTGAAAAATAATACTTGATATTGTGTAATATCGAACTAATATATACATAATATATAAATATATATGAAAAATGTTTCGCTAGGAATCACATTAACATGTAAAAATATAAATATATAAAAGTAATAAGATCTGACATTTTAAGAAAGAACTCCAAATTCATAAAATAAATATTAAGGAATCCACAACAATATATTACTTAATAGTTATAAAATGCATAGTAAATAAATTACAGTGGCATAGATTATTTTATATTCATGAATTAATATTTATGTTGATATAAATGTTGTGGATACCAAAAACCATATATTAATTAACAATTTCCATTTATTTTAGAGGAAGCTGTTATTGTTGAATTAATAACCTTTCTAGAATTTAAAGAATGATTGAATTAGTAACAGAGTTCTTTTGTAATAAAAATATGATAAATTAAAATGTATTTTTTAAAGTGTCAATTACACATTTTTTTAGTTTATATTTAAAAAATATTTATATTATTTACATTATTTAAGAAAAACAGAAGAGGCCTTGTAAATTAGTTGCCACCATGAGTGAAAATTGTTATGGAGTTACATACTGTGCTGTTGTGGTCTGTCCTACATAATTTATTCCGACCTTAGTTTCAGTTCTTGAAGGCAAGTAGGAGCTCCTACCTTATTCATGGAATAAAGGAAACGTTCTTGTCTGGAGTTCGACTATTTCTTCTAGCTTTAAAAACAAAAAAAACCAAAACAAAGATTTGGAGAACCTTAGGATTATAATACAGCATCTAAATATGAGAACAAGAAATTTGGGTCGATGATTAAAATAACCTTATAGTATGGGAGAGAATCACTTTATTATCATAAAAGGGTGCTGCCCAATTACATTGGGTTGCTTTCAACACAGCGTAGTTATTAATCGCTACAGACAATTTTCCAAAACTAATATACAATTATATAATAAATATTATAATAAAGGCTTAGCGAAAGGAAGGTTCGATGCTAATACCACTAATTGCTATCTACCTATTCCCATCCTTTGAATTCTGCACAGTGCGATGAAAAATACCGATTATTCTTGAAAAAATATATCCATATTGCACAATACCGCGTTAAAAATTATGAAAAAAAATAATCATGTTCAAAAAAAACAAACAATAGTATAGACTTATCGTATGATTTTATTGCTAATCTCTTCTTGCAGTCAGCATTATCATTTTGCTGGAGGACAATGTGATATCAACACGTATTTCAGGCAATTGCTAAAATAATAATAATTAACATTTCTAAATTTTCTTTTTCGAAGTTGAAGGAAGAAGGTGTGGAAGTGAACATACGTAGTTGAAGGTGATATCCACCGAAAAAATGGATCCCAACCCAACTACAAATGTTGTGGTAAGGGACGAAAGGATGGACTTAATCGACACTGCTTGTGGTGATGCTTGGGCATTGGTAACGGGTAAAAAAAGAAATTTTCCTAATGAATCTAGAGATCCGAGAAAATACAAAAAAACCGAAACAGAAAATGCAACGCCAATATCTGTAAGTAATTCTTATGATGTACTTAATACCATTACCGAAAATGAACAATCCGCAGTAAATGATAAAACAAACGAAAAACCACCACCAATACACATAAACGACGTTCAAAATTATCAGGCATTAGTCCTATTCCTTGAAAACAACGCAGCTCCAAATTCTTTTTTTTTTTAAAACAACTATCAAAGGTGTAACAGTTTACCCGAAAACACCTGACGTATACCGTAAACTAGTGAGTAGTCTTAGAAATGGAGGTGCTGAATTCCACACATATCAGCTACCTGAGGACAAAAATAGAAGAATTGTTATTAAAAATTTGCACCACACCACCCCAATCTCTGAAATCAAAAATGATTTAGAAAAACATGGTTACATTGCAACAAACATCACAAATGTATACTCTCGATTCAAAAAACCTTTGCCCATGTTTTTCATAGACATAACAAAGGCTACTTTCAATGAAAAAATTTATGAAATTGAATCAATTTATTATACAAAAATTGTTGTAGAGGAGCCTCGAAAAAAAAGAATTATACCTCAGTGTATAAGATGCCAACAATATGGTCATACAAAATCATATTGCAACCATTCTCCACGATGTGTTAAATGTGGCCAAGGCCACGAAAGTGTATCCTGCTTAAAGACCAGGGAGACAAAGGCAA